ATATTGCAGATTTGGGACTTTCAAAACTAGTTAATATAGGGTCATCTGATAAAGTATGTGGTATAATTCCTTATATTGCACCTGAAGTATTATATAACAATACATCTAGTATGGCATCGGATGTGTATTCTTTTGGTATTTTGTTAAATGAAATATTTTCGGTTTTCCAGCATATCATGATATTCCACATGATATTCATCTTACTCGAAATATTTATCATGGTTTGCGTCCGAAGATTCCAGCCCATGTACCAGAATTTGTTAATAAATTGATTACTAAATGTTGGGATGCTCAGCCAGAGAAAAGACCAACTTCTGAAGAAATATTTAAAATTTTAAGTAAATGGGGCAATGACGGTTCAAGTTATGGATCAATTGATTTCATTGCACATATAAAGGTAGTACCTCCTTATTTTAAGACGCATACCGAAGCAAATTATACCAGTAGAAAATTTGACCCTCTAATTATTGCGGATTCTGATAAACAATCCAAATTTTTAGGTAATCGTTACTTTTGATCTTTTTCTTTAAATTTAATTTTATTAATGTCATCCTGATCAAATTCTTCTACAATTATCTAAAATATAATCAAGATGAGCGGAGAAGCAGTGAAAGTCTATTAATAATTGACACTATTAAATCTGAAAATGACGGGTTTGAGGCCAAAAAGGATAAATACAATGTTTCTGTTTATCCGAAGTCAATCGATACGTTGAATGCAAATGAAAATTTTAAGCTGGGTATCTTTTATAGCAAGGGATGAACATAAGGCGTTCATCTATTTTAAAAAATCTGCAGATATGGGTCATGAAGACGGTATTTTCCAAATTGGACATTGTTATCAGTATGGAATTGGAGTTGAAAGAAATGAATGCAAAGCATATCAAAAATCCGCTAATATAGGAAATTCTGATGGAATACTTAAAATAGGACTTTGCTATAACGATGGAATCGGAGTTGAAAAGGACGAAAAGCAGGCGTTTAATTATTATCGAAAATCTGCTGATATTGGTGATTCTAATGGCATGCTCTTGGTTGGTTGTTGTTACCAAAATGGAATAGGAGTCAAAAAAGATGAATATAAAGCATTTATTTATTATCAAAAATCAGCCGAATTGGGAAACTTAAATGGAATGTTTAATCTTGGTGGCTGTTATTTAAATGGATTTGGAGTTGAAAAGGATGAGCATAAAGCGTTTGTTTATTATCAAAAATGCGCTGATATGGGAGATGCCGATGGAATATATAATGTTGGTTGTTGTTATAAAGATGGAATTGGTGTTAAAAAAAACGCACAAAGAGCGTTTATATATTATCAAAAATCTGCTAATATGGGTCATTTTGACGGAACATACTGGCAAAAAACCGCAAAGATAGGTCATGATGAATAGGGATGGGTTCGGTCGGTCATCGGTCGGTTAACCGGTTGACCGCGATCGGTCATACTAATACGGTCAAATAACCAGTCATAACCTATAAATTATTTAACCAATTATTCAATCAAATATCCAAATAAGTGACAAATAGGTGATTTGCATCACATGATCAATAAAATCATCATTTGATCACATTGAACTATCGGATTATTTTTAATTATGTTTAGTTGTCGTGTTAAATTTTGCCTTGTAACATTTGATAGCATTTCTACGATCATTTTGGTATACTGTAAAACAATATCTTGGTCAAATCTATAAATATATAGCTTACAAATTTTATTAACAAAAATTTTTATTAAATTGCATAAACAATATTCCTTTAGCCATTTTTTTCCGGGCCGTCATGTTTAGTATCTTGACGAGTTTGACAAATTACAGCATAAAAATCTCCAATAAGATAAACTTATGTATGTACTCCGTTTAATTCTATGCCAAGTAATTCTAATAAAAAAAATGTCCGGTGCTGTCCCATGACATCATTGCCATGCAGTAGTTTTATACCTATTTGGGATCAAGGTTTTTGTTCTCCGGTTTAGAGAGTGGAATCGGTGAATAATTATTCGAAATTCGATCGAAAATTTCGAACATCGAAATAAACTTCATTCATTGAGTTTTAAACTCAGTCAATCATCGAGCATCAGTCAAATTAAGGGTGTTCTCAAGCAGCATGCTCGATGTGATTAGCTAGTGATTGTGATAGTGCACAACAATTATAATAATATTTAATTAGACCAACGAAGGTTGTATAATTAGATTACGCTCACGTATCTTCCTCGATGTGATTAGTTTATGATCGTGATGATGCTCAAGTATTACGATAAATTAAAATATTGATTGCAATTTGTGCTTGAACAAACGTTTTTATCATTATTACCATTTCGCAATTATTATGTTTGAAATAAAAAAAATGAAAACGAAGAATTAACAAAAAATATAAAAACTCCATTTTCAACAATTCCAAGTTTTGTTCCTTCTTTTTCAGACTTTACTAAAGTTAACAGTAAAACAAAACGTCGAATCCAATGATTTCGGTTCCTGTTTCTTCTTTTCAGACCTCACGAACTTTTATATTTCTGGATCCTATTGCGACAAATAAATCAGATAGAGAATCCGAAGAAGTAATCAATATATAAATAAAAATTTAAAAATATATAAATTTATATGTTTTCTGTAATATTTTATTCGTTGGCACTAGTAACGATTTTTAAAATCTACAATGCAAAGGGAGAAGTACTTGAACAATTAATTTTTCTAATCAATCAATGAAAAATTTCAGCCAATACTCCATCTCTTGTTAATTGGAATGATAAATACCCTTGATCGGTTAAACAATCTTCCGCTAATTAAATTTTTCTCACTGACGTATTAAACTACCATCGCATGTTTTATAATAAGTACAATCGATTCGTTAAACTATTTTTTTACTAATTAAAATTTACTCTCAGACCCATTCCGATAGATTGACTTAGGAGCTTGAGAACACCCTAAAATTTAACTATAAGTTTTGATAGTGATAAGATTTTATTGATTAATAAATAACAATCTTATAAATTTTATTTAATAAATTTTTTCAAATTGACATTAAAAAACTCGCAAAAGATTACATGTTTTATCGACTGAAGAGCGTAATCAAGTTGAAGAAACTTTACGTGCTAGGCATGCAGAATTTAAGAAGCGGCACTATTTATCTAAACAATTTCTTTATCGACATCCAATTTAGTTTCTGTAACTAATCGAAATGAAAAGCAAACTTACCGTAAAGAGTTCATTAAGGGTGTTCTCAAACCTCAACTCCGATGTGATTTACAAGTGATCGTAATCGTGCACAACGATAATTATATCTACGCAATAATAATTATATTTACGTCAAACATTTTTGGTAACAATTCGAATATGCAAGTTATATGTTATTGACATTTTCTCATGCATCATCCTCGATGTGGTCAGATTGTGATCGTGATGATGCTCAATTATTATAATCAATTA